CTATAACAAGTTGTGTATATACTTGTCATAGTTTCTAGTACTGGATATACTTGTTATAGTTTCTAGTACTGGATATACTTGTTATAACTTATAGTACTGGATATACTTGTTATAACTTATAGTACTGGATATACTAGAAACTATAACAAGTATATCCAGTACTAGAAACTATAACAAGTATATCCAGTACTAGAAACTATAATAAGTATATCCAGTACTAGAAGTTATAACAAGTATATCCAGTACTAGAAACTATGACAAGTATATCCAGTACTAGAAACTATAACAAGTATATCCAGTACTAGAAACTATAACAAGTATATCCAGTACTAGAAACTATGACAAGTATATCCAGTACTATAAACTATAACAAGTATATCCAGTACTAGGCTTATGACAAGTATATCCAGTACTATAAGTTATAACAAGTATATCCAGTACTAGAAGTTATGACAAGTATATCCAGTACTAGGAACTATAACAAATATATCCAGTACTAGAAACTATAACAAGTATATTCAGTACTAGAAACTATGACAAGTATATCCAGTACTAGAAACTACAACAAGTATATCCAGTACTAGAAACTATAACAAGTATATCCAGTACTATAAACTATAACAAGTATATCCAGTACTAGAAACTATAACAAATATATCCAGTACTAGAAACTATAACAAGTATATTCAGTACTAGAAACTATGACAAGTATATCCAGTACTAGAAACTACAACAAGTATATCCAGTACTATAAACTATGACAAGTATATCCAGTACTAGAAACTATGACAAGTATATCCAGTACTAGAAACTATAACAAGTATATCCAGTACTAGAAACTATAACAAGTATATCCAGTACTAGAAGTTATGACAAGTATATCCAGTACTAGAAACTATAACAAGTATATCCAGTACTAGAAACTATAACAAATATATCCAGTACTAGAAACTATAACAAGTATATTCAGTACTAGAAACTATGACAAGTATATCCAGTACTAGAAACTATAACAAGTATATCCAGTACTAGAAACTATAACAAGTATATCCAGTACTAGAAACTATGACAAGTATATCCAGAACTAGAAACTACAATAAGTATATCCAGTACTAGAAACTATAACAAGTATATCCAGTACTAGAAACTATGACAAGTATATCCAGTACTATAAGTTATAACAAGTATATCCAGTACTAGAAGTTATGACAAGTATATCCAGTACTAGAAACAATAACAAATATATCCAGTACTAGAAACTATAACAAGTATATCCAGTACTATAAACTATAACAAGTATATACAGTACTATAAACTATAACAAGTATATCCAGTACTAGAAACTATAACAAGTATATCCAGTACTAAAAACTATGACAAATATATCCAGAACTAGAAACTATGACAAGTATATCCAGTACTAGAAACTATGACAAGTATATCCAGTACTAGAAACTATAACAAGTATATCCAGTACTAGAAACTATGACAAGTATATCCAGTACTAGAAACTATAACAAGTATATCCAGTACTATAAACTATAACAAGTATATACAGTACTATAAACTATAACAAGTATATCCAGTACTAGAAACTATAACAAGTATATCCAGTACTAAAAACTATGACAAATATATCCAGAACTAGAAACTATGACAAGTATATCCAGTACTAGAAACTATGACAAGTATATCCAGTACTAGAAACTATAACTGTTGTGGTAGTTGGAAGGTAAAAAACTTGTTATTGTGGTAGTTGGAAGGTAAAAAACTTGTTACTGTTGTGGTAGTTGGAAGGTATAAAACTTGTTATTGTTGTGGTAATTGGAAGGTAAAAAAACTTGTTATTGTTGTGGTAGTTGGAAGGTAAAAAACTTGTTATTGTTGTGGTCGTTGGAAGGTATAAAACTTGTTATTGTTGTGGTAGTTGGAAAGTAGAATTAGATATGGAATTTCTAATTGATTATTTTATTTATACAGTAGATGTGTGAATCTGATCATATATATATATATATATTAAATCAAAGTTATATGATATTTGCACACTGTATTTGTTTTTCAAAATTAAAATATTGTAAATAATTACTAAACAAATATTTAACTTATATAGTAAATAATTAAACAGATAATTACTTCCAAAGATGCTTTCGAATGACACATTACTAGGATGATAGTTTTTGAAACAACAGATTCAGAAATAAGCAGTTTGAGAAATTAATATCAAAATTGAATGTGCATGTTTATCAAAAAGTCAGAAATAAAGAGATACTGTATGAGACTAGTGTTTGTTGTCACCAACTAGTCTGAATATGTTGAACCCTGAGTGTATTACTACATTAGGTATTATCTATTACATATTACAGGTTCCATATCTATAGAACATAAGCTGTTTTTATATGAAGAAAGAAAAGCCAAGAGAAAAGGTCCAATTTGTAATGAGCCTCGATTGTGAAATTTGATCATGATATTTTTGCTGTGAGAGCGTTATAAAGAATTGCACCTCGGAACAATGCCCGTTCCGTCAGGACCAGCAGCTGCTCCTGACCATGTAAACCAAGAAAGTCCTGACCCACATTTGTCCAATGCAGCTTGTGGTATTCGTGATGTGTGGGCTTGCAACTTGGAAGATGAATTCAAGGTTATTCGACAGGTCATTCAAAAGTACAACTATGTTGCCATGGTGAGGATCACACAGATAATTTGTTTTACTGTTTTTTTCTTCATCCAGCAAGGAACCCAACAGATGTGTAAATTATATACAACAAACTATTAATCTCGTTACTTAGAGAGAGTTTTTATTTATATTATTGATTACTAGTTTACGAACCACTAAAGATTAATCCATTTGAAGAGAGTAATACTCATATAAGTATTGTGTTTGTTTATAATCTTTTTTTAAAGATGTTTACTTAATGCTCTTTCATAGTTAGTTTTATAATAAGTCTTTATTTTAATTCTGCATTTAAATAAGCCTTTATTTTGTTTACTCTGATTCAGGTAAGATAATGAATATTGTCCGTTACTTCTTACACAGAAACAAACAAAAACAGTAAGATAATGTAACCAATTAACATGTTGTTAGAAGTGGGTAACTTGCTCATTGATTAATCAACAGCCTGTTAAAGATTAATTTGATTTATCGATTATTACAGTGCACCTCAAACTGTGATATCTACAGCTTGAAAAACAAAAAGTTGATGTCTGGTTCTGTCAGACAGTTGCCTTTTCTCTTATAAGCAGTTCAAAATTAGTGGCAATGGCAATTCTGATAAAAGAGCAATGAATTTTTTAAAAAGACTTAAAACTTGAGATCTCTCGATTAGTTGACTGTTCTTCTGGAAAATATATGGTGATGATTAGTGAGTAGAGTGTAATGTATAGGAGCAGATATCAACACCAAATAGGCTGGATGTTCCAGATGAGTTGACCTTAGAGACAAAAACTAAACCTGACACCAATTATGATTGGAGTACAAATATATTATGAAACCATGTGTCGTGTGTCCTTAATGTGTTACTGAAGTAATAATCACTGTGTTACTTAAGTGTTATTATTATATTTTTTACAACACTTGCAGGACACAGAGTTTCCTGGGGTGGTGGCACGTCCTATTGGAGAGTTCCGCAGCACCACAGATTACCAGTATCAACTTCTGAAGTGTAATGTAGACTTGTTGAAGATAATCCAGCTAGGCCTTACTCTCTTGAATGAACGTGGAGAAATGCCACCAGGGTTTTCAACATGGCAATTTAATTTCAAGTTTAATTTGACGTAAGAAACAATATGATATTTATTGAAATAAAACTGTTAAGTTGTTGGAGGGTACTTGTATTGGCCACTGTGTTACTAAGTTACACACCATTGTGCTACTAAGTTATTAATGTAGTCCTACACAGTTGATTGGAGCTGTGACACTGGTGCTTAAACGTGCCCATGATATGAGTGTTTTTGGCCAACTTCTGGTCCTTTTATTCTTGTGAAGAAAAATTGTCTTCATTTCAGATACTGTTATTATTTGTCGTGGCATTGGTCACACAATCAGATGTTGTTTCTATACACAGACAAGCTGATAGCTAACTTCGTATTGGCTGTTATGATTCTAGTACTTTTATTCTAATTGGCCTAGACTTGTGATGTTACATGCTCAGTAGCATGAAATTTTTGTATGTTGTATATAGACATCACACATTTGTAATTGAGGAACTCGGTCAATATTTTAACGTTTAAATTACAAAATTAGAAAGCAAATTTACAGTAAAAGGAATAACAAATTTAATTGTGACCTAAGTTGCATTGTATGAACTACATGAGGCTACAAGGACCGATCTGAGGTCGTCACAGTTCAGGGGCATGTTGTGAACATCTCAGTTTAGTAAGTGAAACTGTTTTGTTGGTAAAAAGACAGTACAATTCAGGCAATATTAATCATTCAAGATATGGCATCAATTTTCTGACAGCCCCCGTGAACTGTTTGGCAACAGTTGTTTACAGCCCATATGCATTTTTCAAATATAAAGAACTATCAACTACTGTGTTACTGAAGTATTAACTACTGTGTTACTGAACTATCAACTACTGTGTTACTGAACTATTAACCACTGTGTTACTGAACTATTAACCACTGTGTTACTGAACTATC